GAGCATCACCAGGCACAGCCTGAGCTCCCCTGCTGCTGAGAGACATCATCACCAATCCCTGTTTGCATTCTAAATTTCCCTCCCTTGAAATATCAATTGTGACCAGCATTAAAATGCATTGTTATTGCCATTTGTTTAAATAATAAATATTATAGCCTTCTTTCTCCCCTTTTCTTGCCTTCCCTTTAGCAGAAGGAGAAATGAGAGCAATCATAACCATCAGACTGTGACCCTGTGCAATTACAAGCCCCAAGTTAGACTATTTCACCAAATATTGCTTTCTGCACTGGAGAGAAAAAAAAAAAAACCCAAACAATTTCTTAAATCAGCCAGCACCTTAAAGGGCTCTCACCTTGAACTTTAGTTTGTGAGGTGTCTTGCTCCAGCGGGTGCCTGCAGGAGCTCCTCCCCTGCAAGGACGTCTGCAGAGGCGCTGGAATTCCGCAGGCAGTGCCCCGAGCCGCTGCGGAACTGCATCCTGAGTAGCACTGCCAGGAGCTGCTACACAAGGTGCCTGTCGTGCACCAATTAACAGCAAAATGCAATCTTTAAAATAACAGCTCTCCAGCAACCTGAGCTTTACTTTGCATTCAACTCCGCTGGGAGAAATGGGATCAAAATAGCAATCTCAGAGTGACTGTGGAAGGGAAGAAACCTTTGGAGTGTTAGTGGTTAGAGATGGCACATAGTAGTGAATACATATCAGAGGTTTTAATGCTACCCCAGCAAGTATTGGTGTGGATCAGAAACTAAATACAGATGTCAGCAAAATACGACAATCCACCAGAAATTCATAAAGCAGCTTTCATACCAAATCTTGATACAGGAAAAAAAGGCGGCTTTGGCATGGGGTTTGTCTGTTTGGGGGTTTCAGGGGAAACAGGTGTGTTTGGGTTTTGGTTTTCTCAAGGTTTTTTTTTTGGAAGTATATTTCTGTTGCACTGAATTTTAAGGTTTTTTTAATAATCTCTAAAATCTTGTTCTTATGAAAATATAGCCTTTGAGGGGCTGTGGGCACTGCCACTAAGCTAAACTGTTCTGGTTTCCAGTTCTGAAACAGCTGTACAAAGCAATTAGTCCAAAAAACTGATTTCATCCCCAGACCCAAGTGTTTCAATTTTAGTCACATTAAGCAGGTTTTAGAATAAAAAGCAGAGGAAGTATGGCCATCAAGACTTATGTAAGCAGAACATTATTGAATCAAAAAATAAGGCCAGGAAGATGCAGTATAGAAGACCTGAACACCTTGCACCAAAATCTGTACAAAAACTCACCACTGCTCATGAAGAAATTTCCAAACTGGTCTTTCACTTCTAAGTGATTTTGTTCTAAATAATGAACACATCTATCCGGAAGGCGAATCTATTCCGAAGATCTATTCTGCTCCAGATAAATATCCTTTAATATTTATTGGGTTTGAGTGTGAGAAAGAATAACTTTTTCTGTGGCAAGAGCACATTGGAGGCCCACTGTTTACTTGATTTGACTGTAAACTGGAAACAAAGATATTTTAGGATACTTTTCTGCTTACTTTAATATACTGTCATTAATTTATTTTGAGAAGCTGAAATGAATTCCATCTGTTATTATTTTTACTTTTGCCTGAAACCAGCTGCCACATTCAACTGAAATTCACAAAACATCCCAAATTCTGTCTGCTGAACACCAACTGAACAGTAACAGAACAGCCTCCTGGCTGTCCTTAATGCAGCCAATGCCTCTGAACACTTTACAGGCTGAAAGCAAACAGCAGACATTCTTCCTGGGAAGTCAGAAGCTTTCACAGGACTAACCAAACTGCAACTGCTCAGCAGTCCCTAACAATTAGATTTTGTGCTTGTCTCAAATTTTACATATTTAGGCCTATGATAAAATGGGATAAAGTGGGTATATTAGTAAGATTATTTCTGTCATCTAGTATATTGAATGACAGAAGTCTTGGATACAAATTGCAATTACCGTTCTTGGTGATGATGGAGAACCTTTTTGCTGGCCTTGAAAATTCATCAAGCAAAATTAAAACAATTGTGCTTTGCTGTAGAAGAAAAACTAGTACTTCTCTCACACTTACTTCTTTTCCCTCTCTCTTCTATGGAACATCTAAATTGGAAGCAAGAGTAGTGAAATGCCAGAGTATCAGAAAACACTGAGGATATGTCAGGTGCTTTTCCTTCTGTAAAAAATGTAAAAAAGTAAAAAGCTTTGAAATTGAGGTTGATACCCACTCTCAAGTCAGCAGCGTGAGCTTCTGCCAAGGCAGGTCCAGGTAAGGTCTGGCCATCCCAAGCTGCACCAAGAGCACAGATTATTCATTGATCTTCTCCACAGTTTCAAAAAACGACCATTCAATATTCTGATTCTAAATTCAAACTAAATAAAACCATTCTTTTTACTTTTTGAGGGAAGGAAGAAAAGAGAAGTAGATAAGACATCCATAAGATTTAATGGCATAATGGCAACTCTATTAGGACAGCAAAATTAATTTCAGTTTCCCTGAGGTATCTTATTTTAATTAACAAATCCATGATCCTGCTCTATTAATTAGCATACTGAAAGAATAATAAGTTTTAGATGAGCTTAGTTCTGATAAAGCTTTTCATCCCCTAAAAAATAACAAAAGGAACTAAGAACCTCAATCCAATTTGTTTTCTACATTTAGTACCAATGCTTTGAAGGTATACCCAATATTACAGCATAACTATGAGTGTTTTCTTTTAATCTGAAAATGTTTTGGTTTTGCATTTTAGACATTCTACCTACTGAAGGAATGGTAATGGCCCACTAAGTAATCCTTGCAGGATTCCAGGTAATTTTATTTTTCATATTATTTCCTATTGATAACCAATAGGGAAAACACGTAGAATTTATTACAATCCTTATCTACTGTGGATTTTCCAGAAAAATAATGCAATAACAATTATCCAAATGTTAGCATCCCAACTGGGTCAAACAAAACCCAAGGAACTTATCTGGCACATCAAGCTACACAGTAAGAGCTTTGTGCCTCAGTTTGCCAGGACCATTCAGTGGGCACCAAGCAGCCATTTTACTACGGGTCCAGTCACTCATTTTTATAGACATGTTCATGCATTAGTCTGCTTAAAGCAGATCTGGAAACCTGATTCTTTTTCCCCAGGTTGATTTTATATTCCTCTCTTCTTGTATCACAGGTCAATTACTGGCAAAATTAAAAAAAAAAAAAAAAAACCAAAACCACAACAAGTTTTTCCATTTGTTCTTGATCCCAAAAACAACAAATATGTACTTTTGATTTCCGCAAATCACTTTGCCGATTGCTTGTCATACAAATTAAAAGAGAAGAGGAAAATGTTAGCAAATCACCAGTGTGATTAGGTAAGCAAAAAACCTAAGGAGAACACTTGTGCATACAGGAAAACGTAGAGATGCTCAGAACTTCAGAACTGCTTGTCCTGCAAGGACAGGTTGCTTCTTTGACCCAGCACCATCTGTAAAACAAATGAGAACAAAGTGAACACTAGGAGGTTGCATGTGCACAATTTTTCTAATTAGTATGTCTTGACAGCATTTTGCTTTCAAACTCCCAGGTTGAATCTTTTCAATGCTTTACAGAAGTACTGAACCCAAAACAGTTACAGTGTAACAGAAAGACAATTACCAATAATAGAGTTTGTAGAAATAGGTGAATAACTTAAAAGTGTGCTGTAATGGAAAAGTCATGCGACCTTCCCTAGCACATCTGCCATGGCTGCACAGTTCCTCTCTCCTCCAGCATTCACAGAGAGGGGAATGGCTCTATTCCCATAACAAGATGCTCTGGCAGAAGCTGGTCCTGCTGTCTCCCCATCTCAGCTCCCTCAGGATTGATCAGTTCTGTTGCACATCCCACGAGATGCCAAAGTGACACCCTGGTGCTTCCCTGCCTCTGATGTATGCAGGAAAATGACAGATACTGTCTCAGATATTGTCTCTAAGGACTTTACAACCATGGACAGTTCATTGTCATAGACAACAACTGCTTGCAAGGCTGTCTAAATACTTCAGCTTTGTTTGCTTTATTTTTATTTTCATCTCCTTTTCATCACCATGTGGTCCATCGAGGAAGCCTAATTAGCATGTCCCTCTCATATCTTTGTTTTTTCTTCAGGCACCTAATAGCAATTATTGTCTGTGCTTATTTCCTACTGTTTATGTCCTAGGCATGTTAAAGAAGGATGATTGTCAGCAGAATTATTAACATGCCTTATCATCACTTTATTATGCATCTATTTGAAAGGCTTTGTAATCTGTTTGGCAGTTTACTCAGAAAAACACAGAAGTTTGGAGAAACTTTCCCCTCCACACAAGAAAACAGGGCAGTGCTTTCAGAGATTCATTGCTTTAAAATTTTATCTTCTCAGAAGAATCTGAATCGAGGACGGTTGAGACCACGGAAGCAGGGAACATCCTTATTTCATATTTTATGTTTTTTAATTAGTGTTTCAACATCTCAGGATTGATATTTTTGCTGTAGTGGGGGGACTGGCACAGATAGATTTTTTTAAGAAATTTTTCATTAATAGAAGTACTAAATTAGTGCTTAATAATAGACTAAATAACATCTTAATTAGCCTGTGCTTGCCAGCTCTCATACTTCTTGAGTATCAGGTAATACAGAACCAGATAAAGAACTCCAAGTTCCAGATTTGTTCAAAATAATCCCCCTCCTGCTAAACACATACACACCATTTTTATGTAGTAATTATACTATTTTACTCTGATACTTACAGATTGAATGCAGTAGAAAGCCAGGGAGAGACTTGGCATGTCAAAACCAGAAAATGTATTAATTATAGCACCAAGAAATGAGAATAATGAAATAGTGGAAGAAATTCTATTCTTGTTTATTGCAGCACAATAGTTTGTTCTGGCGACTAGTATATGAGTGTGCCATATATATATACATATATATATATACACACACACAGAACTATACATTACATTTTATGGACTCCAACATTTGGTTAATGGTTACTAAATCTGGCATTTACAGAGCCATTAGGAAAGATGGTATTTATTTGCAATTTTATTTCCCTCAGAGTGAAACATGGAATCTATACAGCTGTACAATGAAGATGATTAGAATTGCCAGAAATGAAGGCCTCCTGGGAAAAAAAAAATATCAGCAGCATAGTTTAACTACATGAACCATAATTGCATTATTAGCTCTGCTGTGCTCTACCACAGGAAAGCTAATGACATGATTCTGAAGAAGCTTTATAGATTATGGAAAACTATATAACCTCTTGCTCTCCCATTGACAACACAACTCATTTGAGATCCCTGTCATTAAGGGAAGGAAAGCTGTCTCATTTTTCACAAACCCTCTGAATATGTCTTTTCATGGATTTTAAACTTTAACTGTATATATGCCCATGGATCAGTAGCTGAAATAACAAATAACCACTTGTACAACCTTAGCCATGGCAATTTTAGCAGTGAAATGTATTTTCAGTCCCAGTCCAACACATAAATGACTGTTGCAGAAGGAGTGAGGAAGAGGTATTCCCTGCTCCAGGTATGGACTTGCCGGCACCTGGAAGGTAGCAAGAGGATTATTATCAAAATAATTACTATATTATCTAATTATGTATTATTATTATCATCATATTATCATAAACTGACAGCAAAAAGAATTGTCTATGGCTTTTCAGAGTTCTAATTGTACTTACTGTTTAATCAGTCTGCCTTCAGTTTACTAGCAGGTGTCCATCTTAAAGGCAGAAGACCAAAATAATTTTCATGATGTTCTGACAACATACAACAGTTATTGCCAGTGAGTGACTCCCACTTTGTCCTTCCCAGCTCCCAGGTTGCAAAACACATAAATACATTATAACCATGACTTTTTTAGTAATAACTGAAATAGAAATGTGTAATCAAGGTTATTAAGTCTTGAAACACAAAAAGATCCAAGACACAAACACTGGGGTGGGAGACATCTCCTCCATCACACGACACAAAACCAACTTGCTGGAATGTTTCACTTGAACACATTTGCTCCAGGACTCCTTGGAGACCTGCAACAACCCTCAGGGATTCTTTCTCACTTTATGTGCGCACTCATAGGCGCCTGCAGGTCTCCCCCGAGTTCCCCACCATACAAGGATCAGCCTCTCCTTTTTTCTCTGGGAAGGCTTAAAAGTGAATTTGTGAGCTCTGTGGGAACTGAAAGAGAACCAGCCTTGGGGTTTTTCCCAATCCACAGCTCAAAGGTGGGCATAATTCATTTAGTCCAGTTTAGGACTTGGATCACTGCACCCTCCAGGGCAGGGCAGCCCAGCTGGGCACTGAGAACTGGATGGATGTGACAATAGCCCTCACCCCACAGGGCTTGGATGGGCAGGTTTGCTCCTCTGCTGGCTCTGGGGCAGCAGGAATTTATCAGCAGTATCCTGTCATTATTTCCACATCATCTCCTGCAGAAGTGACTGCTGGGGTGATCCCCAGGCCGCAAACCTGCTGTGCCCGGGAGGGTGAAGGAAACCCTGCAGCAAGGGAATTTCCGAGGGGACATTGCATCCGCATCCACAGCCCTCGGCGGAGGATGCCCCGGTGCCCAGGGCTGTCCCCGGTGCCCGTGCGTGTCCCCGGCGCTGTCCCGGTGCCCAGGGCTCTGTCCCGCTCCATGCGCGGGACGATGTTGCCATCCAGCGGCCGCTCCCTCCGTTACAGAGCGCCCGCCGCTCCCCGGGGCCATTCCCCACCCAGGGCAGGACTCAGCTGCCTCCACATCACTTCTCATCCCAAGTGCTTTCAGTCTCCAAAAAGGAGGAGGAGACTTAAAGCATCTAAATTAATTATCTGACCTATTTATTGATAAAATCCAACCAGGTGGTTTTTCCTCTCTCGCTGAGGAGCATAACATGTAATTCTGATTCTGCTAAGAGAAGGTATGTAGGAAAGCATTGCCCTTAAAGCTGTTGTACATACTGCCTTACAAACCATAGGGGGCATTATGTTACCGTGGTTTGTTCTTCTCATTTATCAATTTTAAATTATGTTCTGCTATTGTCATATTCATCCAGCTCTCAAAATCCCTGTCTTAACACCAATGCAAGAAATAAATGCAGAAAAAATATGTTCTACTTAGTCTGCTGTTTCAAAAGTCCTTTTTAGGACATTCAAAGCATGGGATATGTGTGGTTTTATCTGCAACTTCATTTAGATCCATTTACATGCTCTGAAATGTGCAGGTTAATCTGTAAAGTGTCATAAATCTGTTACTGAGTGAATGTACAAAGAAAGCAAGGGACTAACCTTCAGGAAGAGACGATAAAGGTCATTTAACACTCCTGGGCTCTGCACAGCATGGAAGTATTCCCTCATTGTTTACTCGAGAGGAAATGCAACTGCAGGTTGCACAAACTCACAGGTCTCTAAACAGTGCCTTCCACAAACCTTTCCCAGCCTGTGCCCAGTTCAGCTCCCACAGCCAGGGCCAGGTGTCCATGGAGGGAGAGTGAAGCGCTCATGGCTTCAGGTGCGCCCAAAGCACAGTTTATACCCTTTGCATGCTTGCTGCAGTAAGAAGGTTTGAGCATCCTGTAAACAGCAGAAATAAAGGTAATTTCAAAACTGGCTCATAACTTTTGCTTACAGGAATTATCTTTCAGGCAGCAAGAAGGAAGCCTTTAAAGCATAGAAGTCACTGTGATTTAGCCCAAATTTAGGTTAAAAAAAGCAGGTGTTAATTAGCAGGCTTTGTATTGAATCTAAATTTATTTCAAACTTTAGTCTGACAGGAAAAGGTTAATTGAAGAACAGATCCTCATCTTGTTTCCTTTACTAAGAAATATAGGAAAAAAAGGCAGATTTTGTAGATTGTTTTAACAAACAGTATTTAGACCACTTCAGGATAAATACCAATCTCTCAGGATGAGATTTGATACTCTCTATGGTATCAAGAGATCTGCCCAGTTCCTTGTTCAAATAAAGGCTTGCCAAAACAAAAACCAGAAGAAATGGAAAAAACTTAAAGTATTAGACTATAAAATGGCATTGGGGCTTGGGTTTTGCAAGGGAAAAAAATGAAATATCAGCCACTATTATTAAGCATCTTTAAGAAATGTCAAGTTTTACCATTCATAAACTCACTGCTTATTACAGACTGTGATCCTGAGAAGAAAGATAACATGATGAGAAAGGCAGGAACATTTTGTGGTAAAATGTATTTTTCTGAACCACTAACAATTTGATACTAAGGTGGTTCTCCAGAACTGCACTCAGAAAGAGTTGGAATCATGCCATCCAGTTTCTTTCCCATTCCTTTCAGCACAGAGATCCCTCAGATGCAGAAAGGATGCACTGATGCTTCTTGGTCTCACATCTCAGCCCCTTAATGCTGCCAGAAAACTTCTGCTGCAGAGAACACAGCCAGCTGCACCTGGCTAACAGCACACAGGGCCTGAAGTCTCTAAGAGAAGGAAGGTTGGGTGTGTACAGCAGTCACCATGGGCTGGATACTCACAGCACAGAACAGTGATGCAGCACCGGACAGTGAGGCAGCAGAAGACAAACTCTAGTGCAGGAAGGTGCCAGCTCCAGGAGCATTGGGAAAGTGCTGCACAAAGACACCAGTGACTGAACAAGGGTGGAGTTCAGTGCTCCTGACACCTACAGAAACACCAGCCAGAGAGAGAAAGGGAGATGGGGCCATCTGATTTTATCATTTTAGTAGAATACTTGCCTAATTACAGAGAGCCTGTGGCAGCTGCAGGTGGAGATTTATCCACAGGTTTCCCATTCCTCTGAATGGAAAGCAGCAGGGGCTGGCTCTGGGCATCCCATGTAATGGCAACCACCATGCCCTAGGATCCCATTTTAATTTTGGGGAAAGGATATGGACTCACCTAGTGCCAACTTTAGGGCTGTATTCCTTATTTTCAGAGCTGTCACAGGACAAAGAGGAGATGAGCAAGGAACTCAAAGTCCTTAGGACTGTTGGCTATACAGACCTGGTTTCTGGACTTTTCCCTTAAGATATGTTCCCTATTGAGTGTTTTTTACATGAGATGGTAAAAGAGAGCTGTGCCATTTAAAATTCAGGACTCTAAAATACCAGCAAGCGCAAAGACAACTGTTGGTAGTTTGAAATAATAATACAAGTCTACAAAAGCCTTCTTTGTTATTTTATTTATGCCTCAATTATATCCCTTCTGAAAACACAGTTTGGAAAGAAGGGCACAGCTCAGTGCATATCCTTTCACCTCCTTCATGCATATGAGTACACAAAATTCACCTCAGGGTCAGAAATCAAATGGTTATTATGGCTTCAGAAGGAACATCACACATGCCGTGCTCTGTGGTATCTCACAATACAGTCTCTTCATCTCCTCAGTTACCATCCACTCTTTATTAATAAGCAGTGAGCTCAAACAGAACAAAGCTTTAATCCTATACTTCTTTTGAGCAGGATGGTGTGCTATCCTCACTTGTTACAGCCTTCTCTTAGTGGTATCCACACACCAATCACTTACAGTGATATTTACTTTCTTTTCATTTCCATTTAAGAGTATATTTTTCCACATCTTCCCCAGTGTATTTTAATCACTTGTTGAGCAATGCTACCACAGTCTGACTGCCTTGGTCTTACCATGCTTGGTGAGCTGCCAGAGCTTCCAGCAATAACAAAAGCCAGTTGCAGCCATTCCCATTATTCTGGCTGCCACTAGGAAAAGCTGGCCGACTCACGTCGTCACTTTTGCAGCTGGGTGGCATTTATGAAGTGTGTTTCATGTTTTCACAGCACTAGCTAGCATCACAGGAAAGTACAAAACTTCAATTTTAATTGGAATGATCATAGGTATCATTCTTGCCACTGTATATTAAGTTAATGAACTCAGGGAGATCCACTTGAACACCTCACTGCCACCAGCCCAATTCATTACAAACCTTATGCCTCATTTACATGGGTGCCTGGGTTTTTTTCTGGGGATGGGGAATATGCATCCTCTGTTAGTAGCTCAACTTTCTTTCTCCCACTCACAAATTTTTACTTCTGACAGTCTGAGGTGGCAGGGGAACCAAAGAAGCATAAAAAGAATATACAGTACCCAAAATCAGTGCTGTACGTTCAGGATTGGATGCTAAATATGAAGGAGGCATACAATAAGGTTTTGCAAAACTGTTTTTTTTTTTTGTTTGTTTGTTTTTTTTTTTTTTTGTGGTGTGAGATGGGAAGGTTTGCTTGGTTTTGGGTTTTTTAATCCTTTTAACTTGTTTATTTGTCATGGGAGAGTGAGGCAGCTTTTCCTACCATTCAGCAGGACTCTGCAATTGCGCTTTCCAGCAGACTCCATGCACAGGAGGGAGGGATCCTATCTTGCAGCTTTTGGTTCTTGTTTCCCTGCCCCCCCGTCCTTAAAGCTCATCTTGATTTAAAAAGAAAATAATCACAGCTGGTTTAGAGTTAAAATTAGCTTGAAGGAAAATGGAGCATCTCAAGAAGGAAAAAGGAAAAACCGCAGAAAAGTCATGCTCCCTGCAGCTCTGTCTGAACAATCCCTTCTGTGAGTTGACTTAGGAACTCTCCCATCTCATTTTACTGTTGTGCCATAAATAGGAAGCTACTTCTGAATCAGAACACACCTGTGTATTTTTATTTACTGTAGCTGAGACTGTCACTGCTTTAGAGCTTGGTGTAAGGCCATTCCAGGGACAGGGGCAATGCTCCTTCTCTACCTCCTGCTTTTCCTTGGAGTTACCAACCACTCCACCTAGAAACTCTTTGCTCTTGCATAACTCATTTCTTTACTTCATGCATTTATCTTTTTTTATGAAGCCAGAAAACAGCTAAGATTTTTTAGCTCTCATAATTTTTGCACATGCTTGTTAAAAGTGAGTATTTAAAAAATACAACTGTGGAGAAACTCAAAGCTCCAAGGGCAATATTTTTGAAAGAGCAGTTCCAGGGAAGCATGCACAAAGTATAAAAACCTCGAATTTCAAGGTCTCTTTCATCAGAAAGCCTGACTCAAGGCCATGGTGTGACAGAATTAGCAGGTAGCCCATGCACTAGTCCTTAGTAAGTCTGGGAAGACGATGAGTGGAAAATACAGATCCTGATGAACAGCATGCATCCAGTAAATAGCTCATGTTAACAAGAGCTGGCAACTGCAAATCAGCCAAAGAATATTTTGTTCCCAAAACCAAGGATTTTCCTTCTAGTTTAGTCAACTCAGCCACTGTCTTCTGATTTGCTCACAGCCATGTGATACCACTTTCTCCTCATTAGCCATTAATACATTAAAAATGGACAATTGTAATTAAGATCATCAAAATTCCCATTACAGTACGGATCACATCTCTCAGTTCTGAGGATAAACAAACTGCAAAACCCAGAAGCATTAAAAGACCTCAAGCTCCTAGCACAACTCCCAAGCTATATGAAAGCTGAAAAATTTGTCGTGGGAGAAAAACATATTCTCTGGTGGAAAGCAGTGCAGCCTGTAACACAGCAGGGTTGAGAGCACAGATCTGTGCCCATGCAGGAGGTGAGTGCTGCACAGAACCCTGAGATATGTGAATGAACACCAGAGACACTGTGCCAATACCCATATCTCAGCTGCTGTCAAGTGCTCTGTCATCCTGAAGGGGACTCAAGCAATATTGAAGGATAGAGATTTCAGCAGATTTTCACTTCTCCTAATCTTACCAGTGAGGCAACACCAACGTTTAACTCTCAAAAATTTCTTATCTGCCCACTCTTGCCCCCTTTGCAAGTTTTCTACAATGAGAAGATGAGAATATTACTTGGCTGTGAGACAGTGGGTGGATAAGAGAAAAAGAAAAATATTAAAATGGATGATGTGAATAATTAAAACCACTTTTCTATCTACTGAAGGAACAGAAAGCAGCAAGATGAAAGTGAAGTCGCTTGTTTTATGAGTGGCCTGGCCAATCAATACCATCCGTCAGCAGCAACTGTATAAACACATCCCCTGAGCAGAGCCTTTGTAGAGCCACCTGCACCCTGATCCACACTGAACCTCAGTGACATTTCAAACATTCTCACGAGAAGTTTTCTGCAGCCAGAGAGCACAACATACTGCGGGGTGAGCAAATTACTGGAACATATGCACTGGTAGTTTAGGATTTTCAAGCAGGGATCGGAGTTGTTGGGAGTTTTTCTAACCAGTGCTGCTTTTGAACATTTGAAACCCCATATTCACTTCCATCCATGTCCCAAACAGATTTGACAAAACTTCTGCACACTTTGCAGCTTGACTCACAACTGCCAAAATCCAAAATTCCCCAACCACTGTAAATCAGTTTAGCAGCAGTGAACTCAATGGAGAGAGGTGAATTCAATCTAACTGAGGATTTAGCTATTGAATTTTATAGCAAAAAAAAAAAAAAAAAAAAGAAAAAAAAAGAAAGGCATCTTGAGCAGTTATTTATTATTGCACTATCAGGTTTATTTGGGTTTTGCAATGTTTGACAGAATCATAGGAGAGAATTGTCACTGCAGTAAGCAGGGGGTTATACATACAATTCTCATTAACATAGTATTTTTCTGGGGATTTTGCAATGCCAATGCCACCTAATCATTCCTAGATTTCATGCTTCTGCATGCACAAAGCAGAAGGAATAGGACTTAAGGAAGGTGAAGTGAAATTATTATGCCAAAAAAGAAATCCCATCCTGATTTCATTACTGAACTTCACAATCCCCTAGCAATGTGAACCATGATACTTAACAACATTTTACATTGAATTCAAGGCAGTCATTATCTTAACCAGTCTGCTCTCAGTCTCCAGGTTTACTTTATGGGATGTTTCCTTAATATTGACTTTAATATAAATGGTCTATTTTGAAATTCTATTTAAAAGTCCATCTTTACATTAAACTTATGGCAAAAGAAAATTTGTTAATTAAAGATACTATTTACTCTTCTGTTTAGGCCTGAAATCAGCAGGTGGTTTTTCATTTCGTCAATGATCAAAAAAACAAAAACCCACAACTGCTTTAGAGAATGTAAATAAAAGGGAAACATCACATTGATTCAGTCTCCTCCTCATATTTTTTCCAGGGTGCTATTTAATTTTGTTGCTCCATTCTCAAATGATGTAGTGGTTGTCTAGAACCAGGGTAATTCAGTGTACAAAGGCAGAACAGAAATGAGAGCTGTGGCAGGAGTGATGTATTTCCTGCTCGCATTTTTACTGTTCTCTCTGCCCAGTCATACACATGGACAGCGGTGCTGTGGATTCACCAGCATTTAACTACTTCTTCTTACACAATACTGGAAAATTCCTCACCAAAACTTTTCAATCAATTGATTCTCAGGTACTAAATAGCAGTGCCATTGATGCAGTGTCACCTCAAGGGAGGTGACATTAAATACCAACAGTGGCACTGGGACATAGAGGGGACAGAAACCCAAGCAGAGAACACAGGCACATCTACCAAGCTTTCATGTGAAACTTCCACTATTTATCTCAGCATTCATTAGTCTGTACCCTCTCTGCCATAAATACTGGGAGAAGGAAAAAAACTAAGCACAACCAAACTGTGAAAACAGTAATTCAGAATCCATTTTGGCAAAGGAAAAGGGAAAAAATTCTTTACCTGCCCTGAAAATGAAATAAGCAACAAAGCATGGCATCAAAGTT